CGCGCACCACGACTAATCCCACGGGCCCTGAAGTTAACGACCATGTAAGCCTCCAGTGGCCATCATATGAGCAACCAAGGACTCGAACCTGAAACCACAGAGGGAGCAAACCCCTTGATCCCAAGTCCTTATCACTTGGCCACCACCTAGATGGTTCAAGCTAAGCTAGATATAAGTTGAATTAGGATATGCTGGATGACTTGGAGAATCTCACTCAGTATTGTCTTCTTTTACTCCATTTTATTTATTCCACTTATGCCCCTTCTTTTATGCTCTGGTTTAAATAGAGATTTAGTAAATTTTTAATTTTTTTATATTTTTAGATCTTTTTAATATGCTGATGTCATGATAAATTTTAAAAAATAAAAAAATATTATTTTAATATATTTTTAAATATAAAATATTTTAAAAGATCATCGCTATTATATTTTCAAATTAATAAGCAGTGAGCGAAAAAACCTTAGAAAAAACTCTTAAAGCAAATTGAGTAATTGTTTTTAAGGATATTGAGGGCATTTTACCATGCTGAAAACACAAAAAAGGATGAAAACATCCAATGACACAAGTTTAATATTTTTTACTCTTGAAAATAATTAAATTATTTTTATTTTGCTCAATTATGTCGTTTTGTACTTGATTAATTTGACAGTAATAAGAGTAATAAATGAACTCTTATAAAAATACCTTTTTATCCCTGAGACCAAGGCAATTGGCAAGGGTGAAATAATAATTTCATTGTTAAAATACATCGTAACGTGAGATTGTGTGTACAATAAAACCCTAATCCCTTATTGTTATTATTTAAAATAAAATAAAATAATAATATTTATGTTGTTTACTTTCATCAGTAGAAGCTAATTAGTTTTTAAGTGGACGTTGTTTACGTAATTATGGCAGTATTTTAATTATAATGTAGTTTATAGTTGTTTGGTAATTAAAAAAATTAATTTATTGTTCATGGTTTCATATGATTTTTGCATCTGAAACGGAGGTAATGAAAAGTAAGGGATTCCTATTTTTCATGTACTGTACATACCAATTGTATTGTTCGTTTGTAAAACAATTAACAATGTCATTTATTTGTATTATATATGATTTTTTTTAATATATTATTTTTTTTAATAATTTTTTTTTAAAAAACTAATTTTAAAATGAATTAAATTCACTCATAACGCGAATAATATTTTTTTCTTGAGAAATTAGTATAAAGTGAATCAAATTCACTTGTACCATGATGTAAACAATATTTTTTTCTCGAAAAACTAGTATAGAGTAAATTAAATTTACTCGCATTATAATATTAATTTTATACCTAGTGATATTTTATCTGATTTTATTACATGCTCAAAAAATTATAAAAATTTTAGTTCTTATCGGATGGATTTTATACATAGTGGAATTATAAATGGTTTAATAGACTAATAAAAAATATTTTATATAAAATATTGTTTATTTCATGATGTAATAGGAGTAATTATTTTTATAATATTTAAATTTAAAACTATCAATATTAATATATATATTTTTAAATTATTTTATAACTTTAATTTCAAAAGTATTTTTAATCAAACACAATAAATTACTTTTCCTTCGACTTCAATTTCAATTACAGTTTTAACCAAATACTTATTTTTTAAAACAACAACTACAAAGCTACCTTAATACCAAACACACTTAAGAATCACTATAGACACAAATTGAAATAGTGTAGTAATATTTTTATCTATTTTTAATCTTTTTTTTAATTCTATTTTATATTATATATATTTTTTAATTTCATTCATTTTTTATTTATTTTAGGGCCTTTTTAAAAGTTAATTTTTGTTTTCAAATTCATCCTCTAAACAAAAAATTATTGTTATTATTTCAATTTCATTTCTTATTATTTTAATTTTTTAGTTATTTTATTAAATTGATTTAATCTCAATTCAAATCTCATTCAAATCTCCAGTAAAAAATCAAATTTATTTTGTATTTTAATTTTAATCTGTATTATTTTAATTTTAATTTTTTAACAATAATATATAATTAAAATTATTTATTAATTTTACTTTTTTAATATTTAATTAATTAAAAATTAAAAATTATAATGTTTTTAGCCAAGCTTTTGGTTTAATAATACGAGTCCCATATTTAAAAGATTAGAAGGTTAACATAAATTAATATTATTTTTTTATTAAGTTTTGTAATTTTTTTATTTTTTTCTATTAAATTATTATTATTTTATTACTTGAATTCTAATTCCGACACATTAATCTGAATTAACTTAATTTTTATTATCAAAGTTACAGGATTAATATACTAACTTAAATTCACTTAAAAGAATTTTTTTATTTAATTTTTTTATTTTATATTTAATAAACTCAGGATTAAGCTACATCATTTAACTTTTTTTGTAAATACGTTTCTCTGTTTATAGTGATATGTTTTTTAAAAATTGATCAATCTACTATTATTATTTATTTATTTATTTATTATATAATTAAAACAAAATCAATTTATTTATCTATAATTTGAATAACAGGTTTAACTTACTTCTTTAAAACGCATTTATTACAGTGGGCATTATATATACATATATAAACTAGCCCCGCATCTTAGCGCGAGTGGGGGCTACTCTTTTTTTTCTAAGTTTTTCTACATGGATTATCCCTCTAACACGTCATCCGAGAATCGATGTCTCCCAGACTTGCTAACCTCGAAGGTAGTTGTAATTATTTTTTAAAAGTATTTTTTATTTAGAAATATTATTTTTTATTTTTTAAAAATTATTTTTAATATTATTATATAATATAAAAATACTAAAAAAATATCAATTTAAAATAAAAGTTTTCCAAACTTTTTTACAAACGATTTTAAAATATAAAAACAAACATCATCTAAATTCTCGTTTAAAAACTCAGCCATCATCACCAAAAACTCCAATCTTTTCTGGTATAAAACTCATCAAACCCCTGATCTATTTTGCATCTTGATTAAATCCCTAATATATAATTTGATTATCAATTTGACCCTAGAGTCAGTTTCAATTAAGAAAATCATCAAAGAATCACATTTTCCATACAAACCTCAAGATCATTCCTTTTGATTCATCTGTGAAAAGAATTTTAGTAAATTCAAAGATATCATTTGCCAAACATGCAAGGATGTTTTCAAACTATTGAGAAAATCAGTTCCAAATCTTAATTAAAAGCAAAGAATCCTTGATTAGTGAGGCTCAGATTCGTCATTTGTTAGTTATTAAAAGGAACACATAGCAACAACCATCCATGGCTGCAATAAAAAAGCTCACTGTGAGAAACGAGCACAGCAGTCATTTCATCACAGAAGCCCTGAATCGCCCCGCCATGTAATTGCAAGGTTCCTTAAAATAACTGATTCTTTTCACCTGAAAATATCATCACAGCCCCAGAGAAGAGAAGAAGAAGAAGAAGAACAGAAGCAGGAAACGAACTGAGATCGATGACGATGATGACGATGACGAAGATGACAGGGATCATATTTAGCAGGCCAAACCCAATAACAAACAGTGATTTTTAGCAGTACACCGAGAGATACAGGGCTGTTGATATTTTACAAGATGATGAAGTCATTGGCTTCGCAGACATTCAGAGAGGGAGGCAACAACCCTGCCAAAAAACCATTCCAGCCTCTCTGAGAGCAAAGCCTCATTCTTCTTCCCATCTGTAATTCCTGTCAGCTATGATGATGGAGGATTTGCCTTTTCGCCTTCTTTCCACGCTTGCCCTTAGGGTGACAGGAAGATTGATGAGTAGAGGTTGAGTGTGTGGAGGGTATTATGGTCATTGTAAGTTCGGGATGTGTTTTGGAAAGTACGAAGGTAAAATAAATATTAACCATGGTTTGATGAGCTCGGTTTAGTCATCCACGTGCACTCATGCCTTGAAACACCTGTAGTAGTGTTTAGGAGGGAGTTTAATTTAAAAAAATAATAATAATTTTTAAAATTATTTTAATATTTTTAAATAAAAAATACTTTAAAAAATAACTATTACTATATTTATAAATATTCTTAAATTTTTTTAAATATTTCATAATATTTTGTAAATATAAGTAAAAGATTTGGATTGCACTATTTTATGAATAAGGTTTTTTTTAATATTAAAAAAATTCAGGTATTACTAACATATTTTTTAATAAAAAAATTAAATTATATTTATTGGATATCTAAATGGATTAGTGAAACCCACAATTTAAATTATTAAATTATAATAACTAGATATAAAATAAATTAAAATAAATTATTAAATTTAAATTTAAAATAATTTAATATTAAAAAATAAAATTAAAAAAATTATTTTTAAAAAAACCACCAAACAGAAAGCCCACGATAAAGTGTCAAGCATGCAACACAGGTGATGTAACTAGAATAACATGTAAAAAGCAAATCCAAGCAAATTAGTTTATGTTACTAATTAAAATTTACTGTAATGAGCTAGCTCGGAAGATTGATAACTCAAAGTTGGATTTGAGGCGGGTTTTAAATTTCTAAAATGAAAAAATAGGTTATTATCAATGGAGTCGCTGTCCAATTTTCCGGCAACCTGTGATGGCTGAATTCAGGAACAACAAGCGAAATTTCACAGGTTGTCTTTTAATGAAAGAGAGATAAAATTAACCAGGTCCAGAGGCATGAGCTGCCCCATGCCTGAGCTTCTTTATTTTATTTTATTTTTAAATTTATTTTCCCTTAATTTTATCATTTCCAATTAAATCTTTATTGGTTTTTCTCGGTGACCATTAATATTTGGCCGACTTTTACTAGTAACTATTTTTTTAATTATATAATTAAATAAAAAATAACTTAAAAAACTTCATTCATGACACAGTTTGTGGATTAGGCAGTTCAATCGTTTTACTAATTTTCCCCCAAACTTCCTCCTCATAGGCGCAAATTCAGAAGACAGATTTAGATCTACAAGGTAGAATGCATACACACACCCATGATAATTAGAAAAAAAGTTATCCAGATCTAGCAGAGAAAAGAAATAAAATTAAAGATAAATCCCATATTTACCCAGAAAATAAAACAAAAAAGAATCTGCGAGGTAGGCGACGAGGCTCAGATCAGAAGTGTTTCTCAACCAGACAAGAAAAGAAGACCCCTTCTTGGCTGCAGCAATGAATGAGCTGCAAAATGACAGGAATATCCCTCAAATTTCACAGCAACCATTCAGAGTCACCACGCCAACGGAAGGGTGTTCCTCTTCCTGCCTGATTTTTGCACAGCGAAGATATCATCACCGCCCCTTTGCATACAGTTTCAGAGAGAGAGAAGCAGATAGAGAGAGAGAGAGAAGGAAGTGTGTGTTCATATATATGTATGAATGTGTGTATGGAGGGCTGTTGATTATGTATAGAAGTAATCATCGGCTACGCTAAACAATCAAAGAGAGGGGGCAACCGCCCTCTGAAACCGACCTTCTCTCCGAGAGCACAGCCTCATACTTAAACTAATGATGAGAGTTAAGAACTCCGGCCTTTCCAATCCTTTGATGTTGCCATCGTTTAGGTTTTCTTCCATGTTTACCCTCCTGCATTCTTTCCAGCTTCACGCGAAGAGGCCCAGACGAATTAAAACAACATATGGGCTTAAGCCCAGTTTCCAGCATTGTAGATGCCATAATTCATGGTGTTTGGTGCTCGAGAATTGACTAGGGATTGTTTGGATTCTAGTTGATGATCAGTTTGCCCCTTTGTAGATAGATGCTGGCATTACGATTATAATTACAAAAATATATTATTATGAGTAAAACTAAATATTTGAAATACCCTCCCTCACAGTTACAAATGTTTTTCAAAAACAAAGCACATTAATATTTTTTTTAAAAATAATTTTTAATCACTATATCAAAATAATCTATATATATATATATTTCAAATAATTATTCCACCCAGCCAAACATCATTTTAACCTAATATAGCTGTGACATCGTTTTTTTCTTTTCTTAAGTTCAACCTTAATTTTAAGAGATTCAGGTACTAAATTAATGATGATCATCAACCTTACTGTATCTATTCAGATAAAAAAACATCACGGTTGCTTGTGTCTTCCTAGATTTCTTTCATGCTATAACATTTTAAATTTAATGATGTTAGTTTCTAAATTAAAAAATTTCATTGATTTTTTAAAAAATCTTAGCAAAATTTGTTGATTATTTTGAAAATATCAACACTAATTAATAAAACAAATAAAATAAAAAACCCAAATTCCTCATGATAAATGATCAGCTAAAGCTTTTTATTTTTTGGCCGTGATTATTTTTTAAAATATTTTTTATTTAAAAAATATTTTTAATATTAATAAATTTAAATAATCTTAAATGCAATAAAAATATTAATTTAAAATAAAAAATTAAATAAATTTAAAAACATTTTTAAAAGAGCTAAACTAAGTAGTATTGTAATTTTTTTTTTAAAAGAGCTAAACTAAGTAGTATTGTCATTTTTTTAAATATTTTTTTTATGAATATATTAAAATAATATTTTTATTTTTTAAAATTAATTTTTTAACAAATAATATTTTAACATAAAATAATATTTTTATTTTTTAAAAAATAATATTTCAACTTTTTTTAAAAATAATTTTGATATCATCGTTAAAATAATTTAAAAATACTAAAAATAAAAAACATTTAATTTTTTTAAAATATTTTTAAAAGATATAAGAAAAAGAAAGGATAGACAAGTGGTCTAGCCGACGGGGACAGAAAGGCAATCAGATTTGTAAATTTCAAATCTTTGTTTTTTTCTAGAAATATATTAAAATAGTTTGAATATCATTACATCAGATTAATAAAATAATTATATATAAAAAAACTACTTTTTAAAAAAACTACTTTTTAAAAAAACTACATTACCAAACAACATCGAATTCATTTCCAATTAACTTGACTAATGAATTGAAAAGATAAAATTCTACTGAAGCAAGGTATGAAAATTTATCACTAAGCAACCAGGCCAAAGCTAATTAATCCCAAAGCTCAGTTTCCCATCTCAAGACTGCCAAATAGTACAGTAAAACAGACTCCTCCAGCCCTCCTTTAAACCCTAATGTTCCAGTGTCAAACAAAGCAATGTATTTATCCTCATGTCGTAATCTTATTCCCAATTCTTTTTTCCTCCTCAATCCAGCTGCATCCAAACATTGTAATTGGGAAAAAAAAACACAAAAAAGGGACGAAGTAAAAGACAGATAGAGAGAAAAGTGAGGCTCAGATCAGCATATGATAATCAGACATTGAGAAAGGAGACACCACCATGGCTGCAACAACCGGTTGCCCGTTAAAAAAAGAACCCATAAAAGATCAATTTCACATACCATCCGGGTCACCCCGCCAAGAAAAACGGGCGCCCACCTTCCCCGTTTGCCTGATCAGACATTCCCGGAAAAGAAAGTTTTTTTTTTTTAATATCATCACAGCCTCATTTTATTGAGAGAAGAAGAGCAGAGAAGAAATGACGGGAAAAAAAAAGAAATAAATAAAGAAAAAGAAATGAAGCCCGGTTGATTTTCTCTAAAAGGTAAGAAATCATCGGCTCTATAATGCAAGCAAGGGGAAGGAAGAAAAGAGGGCCTCATTCTTTCCTTCTTTTCCAGGGAGTGTCAAAACCTAACTGGCAGGATTAGCTAGGGTTTTATAGTGGCCTGGTTTTGAAATCTTCCCGTTTTGGCCTTGATTCTGGGGGTGATATTGGGCGAGTGGAGATCTACTCTGTAGGGTGTCTTGGTCATTTACAAATATGGGATCGGTTCCTTCACTAATGCCCTTGTTCTGTGACTTGGAAGCCAATGGAGAAAATATAAAATATTACTGATTTGTTTTTTGATGTTGGATATTATATTTTAAAAAAATTATTTTTTATTTTTTCACTTTAAAATAATATTTTTTTATATTTTTATATTATTTTAAAGAATTAATATCAAAAATAATTTTTTTAAAATAAAAAATATTATTTTAATATGTTATAAAAAAAACACTTCAACAAATAAATATTATAACACTTCGAAACACACATTTAATCTTAACAACTTACATAGCCTGTTTTTTTTTTTTTAAATAATTTTTTTACATGTTATGTTTTAATATGTTAATGTGTAAAATAATTTTTAAAAAATAAAAAATATATATCATTTTAATATATTTTTAAAAAATACTTTAAAAAACAAGTGTCCAGCACCTCTACAATTTTATCTTTCCGTTTCAATGAATAAAAATTTAGATGGAACAAGAGGCGAACAATCACCTATCCAAGATGGCCAAAATGTTGGCGGCTAGTTTAAACACAATGACGTTTACACCCAAAAAGAATAGTTCTAGCAAATGGAATGGTTGATGAAGCAAATACACCAGACTTCAACAATGGACGACGCTTGGTCTTCAAAAATTTTAATTTACATGACCTCCTTACCGTGCTGTGTGATGACAGCTTCGTTCACGATCTCCCCTGCTAAGCTCACAAAATAGGTTGTCTGCCATGGAAAAATGAACAAGCTCAGGCTTCCTAAAGAGAAGAAGGGCATAATTCTACATAATAGATAATAAATTAGTCAATCATGAAACACAAAGTGCATCTCAAGGGACTGTAGATGTGCGTTATAATTCAAGTTATAAATTATGACTAGTTCAAATCATCAGGATTTGTCCAGGACCAGCAAGTTTTTCCAAATGAACTCTAATCCACTGCAAAAATGATGGAATACATACAATATCGAGGGAGCTAACTCTATGGAGAAGAAACCCATCATCAATCATCTCCCTGTGGAAGTCCAAAAAAAAAGAGGAAATGTCAGCTCAACTAGCATGGGTGAGATAAATGTAGAAGAACATATTGTACCAAGAGCAAGGTACTCACTTTTGAATTGCCAATCTTCCATTTAAATAAACCAAAGGTTCACTACCAGTTGGGTCCGCTATGCCTATGTGCGCCACTCCACCTTGAACGGTACGACTAGTGCATCCCTGACTGCTCATGTACACGTTCTAGAGAGCAAAAGAAAGAAATACAAATTACTTTCATAAATAGGACACAAGCAAGTTATTGATTTTTACTATATTCGATTTAATCTAGTTTGGTGCAAGTTCATTCTTCAGAAAAATATATACAAAAGCAAAGATATATGGAGCAATTTCAGTTTGTGTTAGTAGCATTTTCTATTGATGTGATCCAGTATTTAAAACCATAAAAATAGGAGATTTCCTCATAGATGTCAAAGTTTGTAGACCTTCACTTCTTACCACTCCATGTTTCATAAAGATATTATGCAGAGGGCCATTAACTTGCTTTGTTTCCAGTTGCTCCTTGTCACAACTAACCACAGGGTGAAATCCAGAAACTATGATCCTGCATAAGTGTGAAAGATTCACTAAAAAGGATTAGGGTTCCATTCCTTTCTGAAATCATAATTCAAGTTTTTGCAGCTAAAGGCTTTAACATGAATGCTAAAATGACCCAACAACAAAAAGCATCAGAATCTTCAAATTCAGTTCCACTTTACAGCCTGCTGGTGCTTGAGCTGAAAAGGCTAGATAAATTATTAATAAACAATATGGTATGGACTGATTTTACCAGTTGTCAGTGGTTGCTTCTAGTGATTGGGTCAGCCAATTTAACTGCCTCTTCTTGAAGTCACTTGTTGATCCCATGAGCATCGAATCCTTGAAGTTCAAAATAGGCCTCCATCAGGAAGAGATGAGGAAACACTAAAAGAAAAATAAGAACTAGGAAGCTACGAAGGTACTCTTCCAAAAACATCAAAGGTACATCTGCACTTTCGTTGTAGAGAAATTAGCCAAGTGAATGTTCTAACAAAAGGCATGCAGTAAAAGAAGTAAATAAAGCAGTTGAAATGCAGAGCCCTGATGACTTAATAAAAAACCTTTGCAAGTTTCCCTGACAAATTTCGTGTTAAGTCTGTAAAATCATTAACCATGTCTCTACTTCTACTTTAAATCCAACTTCAAAAAGATATCTACATGATCCGTAACCTGATATGATCTATTGGGTTCTGCATCAGAACCCAAGAGAACTGGGTATTTTCACTCTCAGCCTTGCCATGAACCTCATTGCTGAAGGTAAAATGTGATACATTAGACAAGACTAATAGAATCCTCTATTTGCAAATAACATTTTATCTGTTTTTTTTCCTTAAAAAAAAAAATACATGGTACATCAAATGTAGTTTTCCAAGTCCTCTGTTGAACCAATCTTTAGTTACAACATTCACCAAGCAGGCCCTTAATAAAGCTACAAATATCTAAAGAACGGAACACATAATCATAATGAACTGCTTTCTACTCTAATAAAATCACCTAATGCTGTCAGTTTATACAGACATATAGTTTCCATCGTCCTCGTATGGGAAATAAGATGGGAAACTAACATTCTAGCATGTTTTATGCTTCTAGCATATCTCATAAAGAGCTCACGCAGGTGTACAAATTTATTCAATCCAAATTGCATGTCCTCTTTGTAAGGCTGCTCAGATTTAAACAGCCCCAACTTGTTGCTGCAAATATTTTGCAGTGAGCCAATGAAGTGTAGATTGGGCAAATTGGTCCACTTCCAATTCCACGCAAACATCCCAACTCGGTTTTGTTGGACTTAAGTTAGAAACTTGTACCACAATTGTTAATCAATCTAAAGAAGGGGATGGGGGATTGAAGAGGATATGCCAACAAACAAAACCTAACTATCAAAATATTAATCAAACAACATCGCAGAGATGCAGATTCTGAGGGCATCAACAATTGACACTGCAACTTCATTGTTGTGAAGATGTATATATATAAGACTTATGCAGACTAATACATATTTATGTCATAGAAAATTCAACTAGAGTGCACTTTTACAAGCAAGTTTATACCTGAAACGACCCAGTGTCCAAACCAACAACTGTTAGCATTTTTCCACTCGTAATGTTGAAATGCTCCAGGAAGCATCCAACTTTCCCATCATTTGAGACTTTAGTAGAGTACCTACAAGCACTATTTTTATCATCCCCGCTTACCAGTTATTTGAAGTAGTAGTTTAAAAATGTTTATCATCAACCGCAATTCAAGATAAGGACCAAAAAAAAAAACCAGATTGCATGCAACGCAAATGTATTGACAATTGAAGACAGGTACCAATTTCAAGAGTATGGTATACCAGGGAACTTTCTGTGGTGGGAAGAGCCTGCTTGCCTGCAAAAGATATTTGCAGGATTGTTGCTAGCTCTTTATGTCAATGAAATGTATTAAACTTGCGAGAAACCATTTCAAAGTTCAAATGTATTTACGCTTGATTCTATCACAAAGAGTCCCACAGTAAACTTTTTGCAAAACCTTTTGATTTTCAAATTAACAAGAGCTTAGGATTGGATCACAAGAAATCCATTAGACAAGAATAGAAAAGGTGTACCGAAGAAAGAGATTACAGATTACAATAGGAGGAGGAAAAAGAAAGAGATCTTACATTCTGTGTGAGTGGATCATCTTCTCCCAGCTCACTTACGTTCACAACAAACCTAGCTCTGTAAAAGCTAGCCACTTTCTCCATCTTCATCAATAACAGTATCTCCAATCAAAATTAGGAACAGCAAATGAAACATCAAATGGAAATACACTGTGATGATTTGACTAATCCTGGGTAAAGTTAATGAGATGTAAACTCAAAAGCATTAACACCGAGTACTTCCTATCACAACAAATATGGATACGCACCGAATCTCTTTACCACAAACAGAACCAAACCAGCAATGCCAACACAAATGAGACAACTGAGAAAAATGCAAAGAAACCATTTGAAGAAATTAACTCGATCGGTTGAAACTATAAATTCGATTTCAAAAGATTTGGAAAATGAAACCACGAACATGAAACCAGATCATTAACTTATAGATCAGGGAAATATAACAGAAAAATGAGGTGGGTGGATTTCCAGCCTCAGTTAGTAACATTAGGAATTAATAATTACGATCAAATCTTAGATATAAAGAAGCATGCTTCAATCTTCAATGAAGAAAAGAGTGGAAATTGACCACCTGTTTGAGAAGAAGATTTTGCCGTTTAAGGGGTCTATATCCTCCTCTAACACTGAGAAAGTAAACATCATGAGGTCTTCTGCTACTGCTAGTGCCATTTCTGTTTTGAAAAATGGACTTCTGAGGCTGACCCAAGTTCAGAGCAAGGTAGAAGGCAATCAAGAGAGAGACTTGCAAAACAAAAGTACACGCCCAAGATCGCCTTTTCTTTTCCATTCTAACACCAATTTCCACAATAAAATCCCACTTCTATTCGGAAGCTTGTAGCCTATGATAAGGAAAAGCTAAAGAAATCTATCTATTATAATAATAATAATAATAAAGCTAAAAGGTGTGGGATAACCAGATCCATTAACACTGTTGATTACAGCAATTCAAAGTGTCGGGTTTTTTTTTTCTTTAGCGTTTTGGCTTTTATATATATATATATGGTTATTTATTTTTTTAATTTATTTCTTGTATGATATATTTATGAAAAATTAAAATAAATAATTTGTTTTTATATGATTATTGCAATATCAAAAAAATATCCTAATATTAAATTGATATTAAAAAAATATTTTAGTTGTTGGTTTATTTTAAAAAAACATTAGTGAAATAAAAAATATTTTCAAAAAACTCAATTATTAAATTTTATAAAGTCAATAGCATGACTTGTAAGTTTTGCCAAATAACTTTAATTTTGTTTATGAGTTTGGTAAGATATCTTTTTTTTTTTTTTATAATTTAACTTGATTATGTGATTGTATATTTTTTTAATCATATAATTACTAGAATAGTTTTGGCAAAAAAAAATATTATTACATTTTAAAAAGTTCATGAGTCTATTAATGTCTATAACGAGCTTGACTTCTTTTTTTTTTTAGATTTATTGTTTTTTCAATTTCATTTCTCGATACTAGATTAATTAAAAATTGAGTTTTATGATTTATTTTGTTTTTATTTTTCATGAGGTTATCATAATCCTAAAAAAATTCCGAGTATTAGTTTGATGCTCGATTTTGCATTTGTTTATTTTTGTTATCTTGTAGTTAAATAAACAATAGTCTATAAAAAAAAAGTTATTAATCCCAATAAAGTTTATTACTCAGTTTACAAGTTTGATATATCGACCTGAATTACTTAATTCATGGATTTAGTGGGTTTATCCATCAGATCTAATATTATTTTTATTTTGTTTCATTCTTATTAAATATTTGATTGATTGAGAAAGAAAAATCATAATTTATTTTTAAAATTTTATATAGAATTACTATAATCTAAAATAAATATTGATATTGAATTTTGAAAGCATATAATATTATCATAAAATTAAATAAAAATAATAAAGTTATTAAATCAGTTGAAGTTCATGATTCAAGTTGCAGAATAATGAAGATCAATCTAATTTTGAATTGTCTTGATATATAAAAAAATTCATCTTATTTTTTTAAGTTTATGTCATATTTTTACGGATTATCTAAATTGTCTTTGAATTTATTAAGTAAAATATTTATTTTAAATCAATTTAATAACATATAGTTTAATTATAAAACTCAAATTATATAAACAATCAAGCAAATACATTTTAAAATCAAATTATGTAATTAAATTTAATAATATTATCAAAAACAATTTCTAAATACAATTTTTAAATTTAAAGAAAAAAAATCAACGACATTCCTTGTCAAGCAATAAGTTAAAAGGTGTGATGTATTTATTATTTATCCACCTCTAATACATTGTGGATCACTTCAACAATGTATTTTTTTTATTTTTTTAAATTATTTTATTTATTTTAGATCAATTTTAGATCAATTTAATAACATATAGTTTAATTATAAAACTCAAATTATATAAACAATCAAGCAAATACATTTTAAAATCAAATTATGTAATTAAATTTAATAATATTGTCAAAAAAAATTTCTAAATATAACTTTTAAATTTAGAGAAAAAAAATCAGCGACATTCCTTGTTAAGTAATAAGTTAAAAGGCGTGAGGTATTTATTATTTATCCACCTCTAATGTAGTGTGGATTACTTCAACAATATATTTTTTTATTTTTTAAAAAAAATTATTTTTTTTTCAATATTAAACTGATTAAAAATTTTATATTATATATTTTTTTAAATATCATGGATTGTTATGTTGTTTTTTCACATGATTTTTTATTTTATTTTTTAATATTAAGTTAATTAAAAATTTAATTTTGTAATTTTTTTTAAAATATTGTTTGTGCATGAATGATAAATATTTACCACGTGAGTTGCTTTTTTATTTTATTTTTTCAGAGTCAGTTTGTTTTATATTTTAAAAATATTTTTTAAAAAATTAAATTTATTTATTTTTTATTTCAAATGAATATATTTTTTTATTTTTTATTTAGACATACTATTATTAAAAATATTTGTGTAAAAATAAAAAATAATTACATCCATCCAAACACCTGAATACTAATTTTGAGATGTAATGTCAGGTTCGTAATCGTAATCATCGTCAAGTGTCATGTCAACCACAGAAAGAAGGAAATCGACAGTGCTACTGCTACAAGCTATCAATCTGAGCCCCGAAAATCATATCACATCTTTCATGCCATGCCATGCCATGCCATGTCATGTCCATCACTCATTCTTTCTCAATCTTATTATTAGACGATGAAATAAATTAATGACTTTCCAGGATCCAAAATGCAAGTCCATTTATTTAATTTTAAAATCTTGAATTAAAAAACAAAATCTAGATGCACAGGCATTAATTGGTTTATTAAATGTATATTAAAAGTTGATAATGATACATAAATAATAAATTATTTTCATAAGGAGTCCCAGGCATGAAAACTTTTTTTTCCGAGAAAATACTGAGATATAATTGCATCATGAATGCTATTTTTTTTTTCTATGAATCACTTGAAAATTTTCTCTACCTATAATTACTTCTTTGTTTATATATTATATTAATAACATATTTTTTTAATATATATTTCTTTATTAATAACATGTTTTCTTAATAAAGACCTATCATAATTTAAACAAAGAAGTATTTTTTAATTAAATATTCATGATAAATATATTTTTTAAAAAATTATACATATTAGTTTCATATATAATTATTTATAAAACAATCCCTAATATTAACATTAAAAAAATAAAAACCTTTAGAGAGTTATACTTTTTTGGGCCTTTTAAATAGTTAAAAAACACCGGTGTTCACAGCCAGTATCCAACCGAACTGAGAGATTCGAATGGAAACGAAAACCGGTTCAAATTGAACCGGATCGATTCGTTCAGGTCGGTTTCTTTACGTTAAAAACCGGGACACCGGGGCTGTGGTGATTTTGCCACATCTTTCTTTCCATTAGTTGATCCATCTTCTGTAGTTATGGAGATACGTGGGTTCTTGTCATGTAAATCAGAATGATGAACAACTCTCTCACGCTTCCTTTGATTATTTAAATCATCAAATAACAGTCTATGCTTGTTACCCAGGTCTGATCTTTTTTCTTCACCAGTTTCAGCAGATATACTAGCGCTTGAAACCCACAGCTCCCTGTTGTTCAAATTAATAGATGCATCTGCATCTGCATTGTTCTTGGAAAGGTCATTAAAGAACTTTTCTTGAGGTTTCACTGAATCACTTCTTTGAGATCCAGTACTTGAATCCTGCTTTTGGGTATTACGATGAAGAAAAATTTTAAAATCATCTACCACTTGCTTGTCTCTATCACCTTCTTCTGTCCTGGTATCTGAAGAGCTGCCACTTTAACCTTTGGATCTGGCAGATGATCCACCATAACCTAGATCCAAGCTAAGCTCAAGCCCATTCTCATCCTCCATATACATGAACGAAAGATGCCAATCTGACCAAGTTACGTCATTTTCCAATAATCTTTAGAGACAGAAATAATGAAGGAGAAAGAGGAAAGCATCGAACTTTAGAAGCAAGGCTTGAAGTGAAGCAGTGTTAATAAGAGTTACAAGAGAGAAGAAATAGAGAGTAACTTTGTGGGATTATAGAGGAAGTATTGACAGAAGTTCAATCAACAAGAAGGAACGACAGAGAGATAGAAGGGGGACGGTCGCTATCCAAAGGAAGGGGGAAAATATGATTCAGGCGAGGTTAAGTAATGTTTGTTTCATTGTTTTAAAATTATTAATTTTTTTAATATATTGATATTAAAAATAATTTTCAAAAAATTGTTTTAATATATTTTAAAATAAAAATATTTTAAAAATAACCATAATCCCACTTTAAAATACATTTAAGTAAATTATCTGTACCGTGATCTCATTAATCTGGTTTAATTAATTTCAGTTTTTTAAAATCAAAATCAAATTAGAGCCAGTGATTTTTCTAATTTTCAAATTGATTTGTAAGTTTTTTCTCTTGGTTTAGTTTTTTTTTTTTTGTTATTCTTTTTCTAATTTTGTTGGTTGATTCGTTTTTTAAAAACCTCTGAAAAATCAATGCATACAATGTAGTGATCCACCATAAAATAATGACAAGAGCCGCAATAAATGCAAAAGCGAAAGTGCTATGCGTTTTTTTTTAATTAATTTAAATTTGTACGCTGCATCATGAGAATTCAAAGCAGCAGCAGAGAGAAGGATGTTTATTTTACACAATTAGTTTTCCCTTAATTAATTGTACAAGCACACAGCAAGGCAATTAGTCTTAATAATTGTGTGATTCTCATATATATATATATATATATATATATATGGCAATCACACAATTATTAAGACTAATTGCCATATATATTTTGGACTCAAGCCCTTGTGTCCAATATTTTTCCCATGTGTGACTTTTCATTCCTTATATCTCCTCAAGGACCCGAATTACAAAGGGAAAATAAAAGAAAAATATATGCTACTTGTGTCACTGATGAAATCTAAGTAAGAATCACAACTCTAATTTCAGGCAATTAGAAAAGACGGAAGACTGGACTCATCTGCCTTGCATCTACTGGCATGTACTATTTTGGAATAACTCACCAGAAGCTCGACTAGTTAAATGAAGACAACTAGTTCGGATGCAATGAAAAAATCAATGCGCAGCAGAGCAGAAATATGCACCTCCTGTTTTATGAGATTTCTGCACGATCAAGCATATCTACCAAGGTCATCCTTCTGGGGAACCTTGGTGGCAACCTCAAGTACATGGCATCCTCAATGTTAATTGGTAGATGAGTCGCAACAAAGACAATCCCTCCCTTCTTTCTATGCTCTGCGATAATGTACTCAAGCAACCTCACCCCGTCATCATCTAATGCAACAGAAGGCTCATCCAACAACCAAATTGGCCTGTCAATCGCCAGTAACCTTGCAAGCTGCAGCCTTTTTCGCTGCCCCATGGACAACATTCTTGCCTTATCCTTTGCTAATCTTCCAAGCCCCATCAACTCAAGAGCAGGCAGAGAATTCCCTTGCTTGCCTTCAAGAAGCTCAAACCACTGAACATTGTCAAGTACAGTAAACTTTTCCTTGATGGCATCTTTCAGGGAGAGCCAGTTGAGCTGAAGCTTGTACTGATGGAACACTCCAGATTCAGTCACATCATGACCATTCCAAAGTATCTGACCCGCAGAAGGCTTAGAAAAACCGGCTAACATTCGCAAAAAAGTGCTCTTGCCCGAACCGTTGCTGCCTGTCAGTACAAGCGCCCCACCATCATGAACAGAGACATTTACATGCCGCAAGATTTGCTGGGCATTTCTCATGCACGATACATTGTCGAGAAGGATCCGAGGGAGGGGTGCTTTCCGAAGCGACATTGAGGCTTAAAAAATTGAAAGCGTGCTGTCGTTCAAGATTTTGCACACAAACTTTCACCTGTTTGAAATCCAAAAGAAACTTTAGAATCTAGACAACCAGTGCTCAACAAGAAGTTAACAAAAAAGAAAATTTGAAATTTTATCCCATTTATCATCAAAGTGCAAGATAACATCAAGATGGATAGAGAAAGAAGTCAACAACCAAAAGGAAATTATAATTAAGGATTAACCAAAGCCACAGAAGCACACAACTGCATATGTTAATAAGAAGTTTTTATTTGAGTCATCTAAGAAGCACGAATTATGCGAGTTGAGTTTGGCCTTAACACACAGTCATTAATGACACCTGAAGACCACAGCATCATCCAGTACAAATAAAACCCAAATTATCACCAAAAACCATCCCAAATAGTTTTTTATAAAATAATGTAAAGACCACTTCCAATCGTATGAAATCTTTTTTCATCCCATCCCATCATGGAACCAACATAAAGACTGGCCAGTATTCACAAGAACTATTGTATCACTAAAACATTAACAACCCAAAACTAAGATTGAAAATTTAATCAAGATATCCAAATGAAAAAAGAACAAAAATCACTTGACTTCTTCCATAAAGAAACCAAATCAATATCCACAACTACATTGAGGCAAATGATCAAACACCTTGTATACTATTTGCGTGAACTTTCTTTGTACATAAAACATTTACAAAATGTTGGATAAAAGTTAGAGATAATTACAAAAAACCACTTATAGTTTGCTCTAAATTTCACTTTCCCTCCATACTTTCATAAATTACACTCTACATCCTAAGGTTTACATGTTCAATAACATTTTACATCCTCGACAAAAAAAGTCAAAAAAATCTGAATATTTAAGTTTGCCATTATCCAAGTTCTTGTTGCTTCAAAAAGTTAAAACAAACACACATGATTTCACATCACAGTCACCGATCCATAATATTCAATGCATGGTAGTTTGGGTAGATTCTCGAGAAGAGAAAATGCCAGCACCACTCTGCAATTTCAAAAACCATTGTTTAGTAATTGCACAGTTTATAAACTAAATGAACTAACTTGAACATTTAAAAGACCAACCTGTGTCTATTTTATTTTTTTCCTGGGTTGGTGGGGGGTTATGTTTTCCTCATTGTTACTAACTACAAGCACAGAGGAAGCAATACTCCACGAAATAAATGAACAAATCAAAACGAAAACGAGGATGATTTTCTACCCATATTTATATGCAAGCAAGATTCAACCACGCTCAGAAGAGAACAAAAGTTAAATGCTACCATAAACATAGATTCATTGAGAAACTAAAGATAAATGTAACGTCAGTGCCTATATCATATCCTAGTTCAACAGGAAAGCACACATTGATAATATGCGATGCATGTGCTGTCTTGAAATTCAAATCTTAAAATTCATACACACCTTAAAATTCAAACCTCTATTTTGGATTCTAAAAAATACGAACAGACAAAGCCTTCACACAGTTCATGAGCATCCATTAACCAGACAAACGCAGACGCAATTTCAAAGCTATTCAACTTCAAGTTTCATATTCAGAAACCATCCATGAAGGACACCAAAGGCAGGAATCGTATTTATGGTTCTGTGAACAGTAACCCCAGAAATTAAATTGAGTGTTTTGATCAATTTCCATATAAACATGCCTAGTTAGGTTATATAATGGTAAAAACATTTCCTAAACCCGTTATTCAAAGTCTCGATCGAAAAGAAAACTCTTACCTGTGCTCTTGAGTTCCAGGAAGGAGGGAAAGAGAGAAACCAAGATTGTTGAGTTCCAGACACAAAATGGAATCAACACGAGAGGAAATCAGAGAAAGCAGATTATTTGTTAATCTCGACTTCAGTTCTTCGTTTTAGTCAGAGAAAGTAGAAAACGGGGAGAGAGTGCCGCGCGGTGATAGAGGGAGGAAGAGAGGGTGATCGTTTGCGATGATTAATTCGTTATATATGAGGCCATTTTGGTCATTTCATCCTTTTCATAATTTTTTTTCTAATGTAATTTATAAGTATAGAAAGAAAATCTAAGAACAGATCATAGAATATATATATATATATATATATATATATATTTGTAATTATCACTAAAAGTAAATAAAACAGACCACTTCTCTTACCTGTAGGAAAATTAAGATTGTTCCCATCAAGGGAAAAAGATATTAGCAGAGAAGCGGATTCTTACCGATTGGGAGGTTAATGTTTACTTTGGATTTATTATTATTTATTTATTTATTTAAAAAAATCATTTTTATTTTTATTACTTCAAATTAATATTTTTAGATTTTAAGAGAGTTTTAGTCTTTCTATTATTATTTTGAATTATATTAATATTAAAAATAAAAAATATTATTTTTATATATTTTTAAAAACATTACTTTAAAAATTAATTTTTACCACAAGCATGATGTTAACATGGGCTCCATTAAGATCTAACTTGCTACAAATAGACATAATTTGAAATATTTTTAAAGATAGATCAAAGACTTGTGGAATCTTATAAACACAGATTGAATCATACTGTGGTAATCTCAACCTCAAACACGCACTACTTGCTAATTTTTTTTGTTTTTATATTTAATTTTTTTTAAAAAAAAATTATTATAAATTTATTTTTTAAATGCTTTTAATATATTAATATCAAAAATAAATTTTAAAAAATAAAAAATATTATCTTAAAATATTTCACCATATCAATACCAAACATACGCATCCTCAAACACAGCAGCTATGCATGCTGTTTTCAGCTACAGGGATTCCAGCGAGACGCACGTACAAGCAAGATTATATGTCTATTTAAAAATATAAATATAATTATTTTTTAAAATATTTTTTACTAAAAATTATATTAAAATAATATTTTTTATTTTTTAAAATTATTTTTAACATCAACACATTAAAATAATTAATAAATACTAAAAAAATATTAATTTAAAACATAAAAACAAAAGTACTTTTAAAACTGAAAAATAAACAGGAAAACAAGAAGTCATTAAAGTTGAAGGACATCCACTCATATTTTATTTCTCTTCTCTTTGATCATCTCCTATAACTCAATTCCTATAATACAAAAACGGGTCTCTGATCGCATTCCCAGTTCCTGCCCCCAAATAAAAAGGCTGGGAATGATGAATCAACATACAAGATGCAGATAATAGTAATATCACCAGTTCGTGAAAATCCCTACCAGCATACAAAAGTGCTGCCCCAGTTCTCCATACAAATTCCTTTCAAACCCATAGCCATATCCAGAAGATTCCCAACATTGAACTAGTGCCTCGTCTCAAGGGTAATGGCTTCCTCAAGGGCCATCGTGTAAACAGCATTTGTGGATCTGGTATTTGATCCTCACCCCGCTGCAGGTTAAATCTGAGTAATGCAGTTCAAATTGATACTATAAAGTAATTCGTGGGCCAGTATCAGTGAGTGACCAGTTTAAGGTTACATCTGTCAGTATGTACACATAAATGTCAAATAAGTATGGAACCAAAACATGGTTACAGAGATTTTTGCAGAGTCACAGAGGCACATGGCCATCCCTGGAAGCCATCTTAAATCACTGGCAGATGACAGGATCTTCAAGGTGATTCAACAAGGCCCTCAAAATTAATAAGGCAATGCACTTGAACATGTATTCTTAAACTGCACTTTCAATTGCTGATCCACCTTCGTTTTCGAGGAGGCCGCTCTGGTTTAATCTCTGAATCTGCAGGAGTCTCGGGTTTGACAGAAGGCAGTGCCTCATTCTCTGTCTTTTTTATTGCAAGGGCATCTTTCTCACCTGGCATCGGAAGCTTGAACCTCTCGCTCCGCTTCTTCAACTTCTCAACTGTGTCCAGGTGCCAGTCCTCCGATGGCTTCATATCAGTGTCCTTATTTACCACTTCAGCAACATCTTTATCTTCGCTCACAGGATGCTTCTCAACAGTCTCGACTTTGGTACGCTTCTCAACTTTCTTAGGAAGGTCATTGGGAAGTTTACTGCCTTGTAAGGATCCGTCATTGCTATTCCTATGAATCTCTTTAAACTTCAAGGAAGCTGATGACTTGCTGATGTTGTAATCCCTCTCTTTATGGCTTGTCCAACGTTCCAATTTTGAGCGTCCTCTCCTTAAATCTTGTTGTTCATCATCTGAGGAAGCATCTTCCTTGTGCCTTTTGGAAGAGTTCCGTTGGATCAAGATCTCAGCATCTCCATTTCCTGGCGCACGAGAGCGTTTTAAAATCTAGCAAAAGTAAAAGATGAACAGCACCAGCTCAGCTCAAGGCACTATCTAAATCAATCAGCAAGAGGCCAACTAGTCGACAACCGAATGAGTTGCCAAGGGACAGAGAACATATACTAAAGGAAATCTGAGAGTAAACAAAAATAGTTTCCAAGCTCTCATTGGAGACTAATTTCAAGAATCTAAAAAGAAATAAGTTTCCATAAAGAAAATCAAATCTGAATCTAGCACACCATTGTGAACTAATTTCAAGAAATCTTAACAGTCAAAACAGCTCGACATGCCTAAGCATAACCCTAAGAATTTGCAGCACTACCTGCCCACGTACCTTGATCTCCACTATACCTGCATTGGTAAGATAAGATACTGAAGCATGTGTAAGACTATAACCCGATAACACATACATATATCTTAAGAGTATTTTTGCATATGCTGGGTATCAGTTCATATATCATCAGAGTTGCTTCGAGTGAAATGGCCTCACGAGGCTTCTCTCTCCTTAGTATGTGCTTCAGTAACAGGCAGACTATTTTTTTTTTTTTTTTGCATGTTTATGGAATGGAATATGTGGAACAGGCTTTACTTGATTAGAGAGAATTAGGTTATTTTGTGGAGGGTGGGGGTCACTCTGGTCCAACTGAAGGGTTTAGGACATGAAAGGATGAGAAAACGCTGTGGACATGTGGCATCTGTGGGATTGTTTGGCAGTTGGAGATTTAGCAGTCTAGAGAATTGGTATCTAATAAGCAGCTGTTGTGCATTTTATTTAAGGGCTCTTGGGAGGGAGAAGCTCCTGTTTGGATAGTTCCTAGTTGGTTCCTGTTAGCTCAGTTTTGTCATTAGAAGGACAACATGTCCACGTATTTATGTTTTTACCTTCAGTAATACAATTTTCTTCTAAGACGTTTTTTTTATATTACTTCATTTATCGATGACCTGACATCTTAAGGAGGATTTCCCTACCTGCTACTCCTCCATTTCATTATTTTTTCTAGAGCTAAGCATGAAAAATACCATTTCATCACTGTGACCACTCTGGTCTTCTTGGTTTCTTCTGGAAGGGCCCGAGGTGCCATGATCTCCGCCATCAGATTCTTTGTTCTTCCTTGTGTTTTCTTTATGCTTCTTCTCATGCACCCTCTGGTTATCAGAAGTATCCAGAGTGCGATCGATGCGAGTGCTTGACCTTTCCTGCCTGGATCTTCTCTCATCACTACTAAACTGATTTCCTCGTGCATAAACAGCATCCCGCACCCTATGATGTGAAAGACTTTCATCCTCCATCCGGTCCCTTCTTTTCTGGTGTTCACTGTTTCGAACAGCATCTTTAAGATGGTAGTCTTTATCAGAAACTTTATATTCATCTTTCCCCCTAGCATGGCCAGCCCATGCTTTGTCATCCACACCACGCCCACTCCTCGCAGAAGCTCGTCCTTCTTCTCTCTCCCGTCTTGGTAAGTTTTCTTCATTGGATTGTTTTAGCCTATACAAATCCTCCCTTTCCCTCGGCCTCTCACCCCTCTCTCTTTGGAACCAGACCTCATCTTTATGCCTGACAGAGTGATAGTCATCGAGATTGTCTCTAATCCATTGCTGATCGTCTCTTTCACGCTGGCGGCGACTGGTATTTTCTCTGTGGACATGCAGGATCTCCTCCTTATCAGCATATTCTCTTTTCATATATTCCTCATCTTTCCTCCGTTTGCTGTGGAAGTCATCTACCGTCTCAAACCTACTCTTCAAACTGTCATCTCTTTCCCTGTGTTGTGAACTACCATCCTTCTCATGGTGAATCCTGTAGCTGCCATTCTCTAACTGTTTTCTTGGATGAAGATGTTCATCTTTGTCACTTCTCTCAGTCTCCCGAATCTTACTCCGGTGCCTAGATCCCATTTCATCTCCAAGTTCCCTCTTCCTGTCTTCAGTTCTATGTTTGCTACTATGTGGATCTTCTTCTCTTTGTTGCCAAGAGATGTCTGAATTTTCTTGCTCCTTTCTCCTATCATAGCCCTCATGTTTCATATGCAAATGATGGTGCAAGCTAGGATCCAAGTCTCTGCGAGGATAAGAATCCTCCCTCCCTCTTATTATGACATGACTTCTTTCCATCTCGTGTCTCACATCACGATCCCTTCTCCGAAAATTCTGTTCGTTTTCATCAAGGTGCCTTCTGATGCTACCTGAACGTGTAGAACGTCTACCTTGAACAACCTCCTCCTCCTCAACACCATCCTTCCATTTTCGATAGTCTTTGCTACTGCTTGATCTTGCTTTGCTATTTTCACTACTTCTTGCAGCCTTTGAGTCTTCCTCATCATCAAGCTGTTGCAATGCAGGCTGTTCTACATGAGAACTTACTTTTTGTTTCCTAGTAGAATGGAGCACATTTCCATCCTTGGGAGTATCATTAGTGGTTTCTTCATTCTCACCCATTTCATCCCTTCCCAATCTAGAGCTTCCTTCAGCCTGCAAAGGCTCAGCATCATCTTTTTTCTCAGAACTCAACTCTCTTGCATCCTGAACTGTGATGGGAGATGATACCCGCAGACCGTGTTTACCAACCATACTTTCAGTTGATTCTTCCTCCGTGTTATCAATAAATTTCTTGTCACGTGAGCTTTGAGCAGGAGTTAACTGAGGTGATCTGTCACGGGATCTTCCCTGCATTTGCCTGTGAAGATGAGGAAAGAATTAGAATTTTCTCAG